TGAAATTGAATATGCAATGACTATGACTGCACCAATAATGAAAAGTATATTCAGTGATGTCTTGGATCGTCTGAAACTTCACTGGTAAGACTATTATAATTTTTTTATCGATATTTGTATTAGCAATAACATTTGATATAGGGGAGAAACGATGTCTTATGTCATGTCTGATTGTTGTCGAAAAATTGATTTGAGGTTTGTTCATAAAGCCAAAGGACTTGAACTCAGCCATTCTGAATGCGCAAAAGTTCCTACGCCTGCAAAAGCTGTACATGATCGTTCAAAATTTTGATGCGACATATGAACTCGAGGAATTATTACTGGAAGATAATCCATTAAAAGTCAAAAAACGAGCTAATCAGGATCTTAGTGGACTTTCCAAGGAAATGAGAACAATGGAAGAAAAATTCCTTGTATACGACTATACAAAGATGGACAGGAAAAGTTGCGACGATATAAAAAGCTTTATTGATAATAATAATAATCAAATTAATAATGAAGCCGATAATGAAAATCTTGACCAAATAACCAACAATAATAGTGATAGTATCCACAATGATAGTTCAACAAACGCGAGTTATATTTCTGATAAAGATATAATAATAAACAATCCAACAAAAGATATTCATAAAAGCCAAGAACCTGATGTTATAGCTGTAGTATACATTGATGATTCTAAAGACAAAAATATAAATGATTTGTTGACAGATCGACCCATATCACAAATAATGATCACAAAAGAGCTCCCGAATTCAGTTTAAACTTATTTTCTGGCAATGAGATAGTCAGTAAATCAATAATATTTACAATAAACAGTATACTAAATATCGAATTTCATCTTTTAATTCTCTAAATCAAGAGCTCTCAAAAATCAATCAACTAAACGAATTGCCAACACCAACGTATTAATAACGACATTCACCCTTATGTTGTTTAATTTTAATTAATAATAATAATAGTAAATAATAATAATAAATAATAATAATAATCATTAGATGAAAAAGAAACATTATTGTGTCATTTGGATAATAATCATTATCGTCATAATCATACTATCATTTTCATTATTGTCATTAATATACTCTATGAATTTGTGTTTTTTTGTTAATAGTTTGTGCTAAATCTATATCATTATTACATTCTACTACACAACCATCATCATCATTATCATTATACTCTATGAATTTACATTTTTTG